TTATGATAATAATTATTAATAGATACTAACATAGCCCTCTTTCGCCTCTTTGATAATATTATTGCTCTATATGTTTATCGTACATTTTTATTGATCTTTATTTATCCTTACAATACGTTAGGCGGCACGATCGTGATCGAGTTTGATCGTTATTGTAATGATCGAGCGAATTTAAATACCATCAGAAAAATTCATTTAATTTGTAATATCGATTGGACAATTGTTGTTATTGAGAAAATTTTCTTTTATTTTCTTTTATTTTTTTCTTTTCCTTTTTTCCTCTTTCCTCCTTCCTTCTTCCTTATAATTTTTCTTCTTTCTATGATTTATGTAACTTCTTCTCAGAACTGTTAGTTTTCATTTATTTGTTTGTTTATTTATTTATTTATTTATTTATATTTTTTTTTCCTCGCCTACGAGATTAAATCATTAATCGTGCAGTAAAGTTTCATAATTGGTCCATTGTATTGTGGAAAGCTATGGCAAAGATCAAAGAACTTACGTTTTATCTTTCTAATATTAGATTAGGATTCGAATATTTTCGTATATCTTTCATTCTCATATATCAATTTACATATCATCGAAGAGGAAGAAAGTAAAATAAAATTTATTTTACGAATTCGAATGTGTATATATATATATATATATATATATATATATATATATATATATACACACATACATCGCTCCACATCCACATTCACATCACACTTTCTTCTTAAGAATCAAAAGAATGCGAACGGTTTCGTTTCTCTAAGGCTTCCGTCCTCACACGATTGACATGTGTATATATATATGTATGTATATATATTCGTTATATACTTATATACATATATATATATATGTATATACTAGTTGTACTCGTGCTCTCCCTGAAGCCTGTTCTAAACTTAACGCTCTACTGGAATCTAATACCTCTGACCCCAACAACAAATCCATTCCAGGCTTGTACTATGTTACTCTGTTCAACATCGAGGAAGTATAGCCACTTTTAAATTACCAATTTCTTTTTCATCGCCACTTTTTTACATTTCACTTTACGTGATATAACAGTTCAATTGTGATCAATCGCATGTACAAGAAGAAAATAAATAAATATGTAAATAAAATAAGTTAATTAACAAAAGGGGATAACAATTGCACTGAAAGAAAAAAGAAAAAAGAGAAAAAAGAAAAAGAAAAAGAAAAAGAAAAATGGTACAATTGTATATACATGGTACAATTGTAATTCGATTATAATTTATGTACTTTTTTTTTTTTTTCTTTTTTTTTTTACTATATAGTACAACAACAATAGAATGACATTTGTACTATGTACAAATTTAGTAAAATTAAAATTGTAATATGTAATTTTACTACACCTTTATATATATTTATATATATATATATATATTTTCTTTTTTACTACAATTGTCTCCTCGATAAATATTATTATTATTATTATTATTGTTATTGTTATTATTTTTTTTTTCTTTTTTGAATCGATCATTTACAATGCTTTTATATAATATTTTTTATAATATAATATAATAAAATAATATAAAAACAAAATGATAACGCGTTCGATTTATTGAGAAAATTAAGTTGTCTCTCTCTCTCTCTCTCTCTCTCTCTCTCTCTCTCTCTCTCTCTCTCTCTCTCTCTCTCTCTCTCTCTCTCTCTCTCTCTCTCTCTCTCTCTCTCTACTTACCTATCTCTTTGGAAGTATCGAAAGACAAGAAGAGGAACGAAAATGCATACCTAATTATTCGATGCAATTGCGTAATATACGTCCATGATTACTGGGTATGGCACAGTGAGAGCTACGGACACCGTATATGGAAAACTCGTGACACAAATCTCGATTACGAGTTGTACGACGAACTTACCTTACCCTACCTAACATACATGGATTCGTACATATGTTCATACATACAGATTAGTTTCTATCTATCTATCCATCTATCTATCTATCCATCTATCTATCTATCTGTCTATCTATCTATCTATTTATCTATCTATCTATCTATCTGTCTATCTATTTATCTATCTATCTGTTTCTCACTTTTTCTGTAACATATACATATATATTATTATATATATTATTATCTATTAATATATACATATATATTCTCTATATACATATATATGTGTGTGTATATATATATATATACATAATTACTTGGAAAACTTATGCACATACATTTCAATGGAACTCTTAGGAGATCATTTCATCTCATCTCATCTCATTTCATTTCATTTCATTTCATTTCATTTCATCTTAATTTCATTTCATTTCATTCCATTTCATCTTAATTTGTCCTACTCGTCATACAGAATTTCACAATACGAAGATCTCCCTTTATTTTTTCTCCCTTATATTTCGGTCGTTCGAAAAGCGTTACGATTTCTCCGGAGAAAATTATCGACTCGCATTGCGGAGGATGGACTCTCAAGATAAGGAAGACGTCGTTGACCTCTTGTCATCGTCCTTCTTTCGCTTTAACGTCTACAAATTTCTTTATTTTTTTTTCTTTTTTCTTTCTTTTTTTTTTTTCGTTATTAAACGATCAATTTTTTAAAATGCTTCACACGGTAAAAATATTCCAGAGAAATTTTTTTCTTTTTGCGGAAGATCGGAGGGGAAAAATTTTTTCTCTTGAAAAAGAAAAGAAAAGAAAAGAAAAAAAAAATAAATAAAAATGATAAATTATTTGTTCAAATGGTTATACGTAATGCGTGTTTAAATATTTGTGTCGCTTAAGAGATAAATTTTATACTCTTCTCGAAAATGTTCTCTCCCATCCTCGAGTTTCAAAGTTGCTAAACGATAGACGTTTAAACTGTACGTGACTTTATCTTCTCTTTTACATTGTCAGTCGGAGCTCGAAAGCGTGTCCCTGTTATTGTTCTTCGATCTCTTTTCATATCATAATCCATGTCGTGTATGAAGTACGTGCGTGGAATTACGAGAACGTTTTAATAATCGCAATAGATATCTTTCGTGACATGTGATACCTGTCAAAATCAGCTGATCTGAGTGTGGCTTCATTAATGAATATGAACGTACAGACATTCGTACAGTCTCATTCTTAGTCTAATCCTAATCGAACAATTTTTAAAAACATTTTTTTTCCTTTTATTATTGTTATTATTATCATCATCATCATCATCATCATCATTATAATACATCATTTTTCAATAATAATAATTATTACTTATTAATAATAATTAATATTTTAAATATTTATTTATGAACAATATATTAATAACAATGAACAATTATTAACATATTAATTATAAATAATTATAATTATTATCATTTATTAATAAACAATATATTAATAATAATAATTATTATTATTATTATTATTCTTATCGTTGTCATTATAATATATTATTTCTTAATTATTATGATTATGATTAACATTATAATATATCGATTTTATTATTATTATTATTATTATTATTCATTTATTTATTTATTTATTTAAAAAATTTTTTATACGTAGACACATACCAAAAGCAAAGGCAACGACGATGGCGGAAACACCAGAATTAAAACGCATCGCGGAGAATACAAAAATTCAAAGCAACGTTAAGTATCACGCAGAGTTCGAAAAGGCAAAGGGAAAGTTCACGCAAGTTGCGGATGATCCAGAGACGCTGAGAATCAAGCAGAACAGCAAGATAATTTCAAACGTTGCTTACCATGGTGAACTTCAGAAGAAGGCGATTATGGAACAGAAAAGGACCATGACCGGAGAAAATGGCGAACAAATCGGTCAGTTATCAATTCATCTATATTACAATCTATTTAACAAATATTTATTGAGTAAAACAAACGAATTGACAATATTTATAATATATCTGTCATATAATCTTTCGCATTTTTTCTAATTATTATAAATACTTTTGAAAAATGTTGATAGTTAATATACGTGACGAAGAGAAATGAAATTTCCCATTAAATAATTTGAATTTCAAATATTTAAAAAAGGAAAGAAATTAAATAATTTCCAATGTGTGATCTTCAACAAATAGAATCAAATATTCTAAATGTCAAACATTTAGAAAAAAAAAAAAAAAAAAAAAAAAAAAAAATTTTTTTTTGAACATTCGAAAAAAAAAAGAGAAAGAGAAAAAATTTCACGGAGAAAGACCAAGAAGGATAAATACATAAAATACGTATGCTAATGTGTCCTCGAGTAAATGTTTGCCTAGTTTTGCTTTTTAAACATCCCCACTCTAGCCCAGGCCAACCCCTTTGCCCTAACTCGAGACTTAACCCCTCCCCCGCCCTCCTCGTCTGTCGTGTCACTCTATCCAATTATTTGTCAGCTTTTCGTTGCTTTCTATGCTTTTTAGAGTACGTAGAGTACACGGACGGTACAATCGCACCTGCCTCGAGCAGTTACCTAAATGCGAATCCACCAGTTGCGAGAACGGCAAACTCGCCTGTACAAAGGACACCAGGTAGGATCGCTGATTACGATCCCCTTAGCGAGGCAAGGCCGAGTCCTTATTCCGCCAGGCAAGCCGCGACCACGGTCATTTATACCAGTGACAAAGGTCCAGGTAAGTTTCTCTTCCTTGATCCTGCTTTAACGTATTACTTACATATACTTATACGTATATGTGTTTTTGTATATGTATATGTATATCTATACGTATATGTATGATGCATTTATGTATATACATTCTATCTCATTATTCTTCTTTATTTTCTAACGTTTTTGAATATACGATATACTTTGTTAAATTTAGATGATCTAATTTTTTTCTTCTTTCTTCTGATTTTTTCTTTCTTTCTTTTTTTTTTTTTTTTTTTTTTTTAATTGAAATTAAAATGACGATTTTTATTTAGAAAATAATAATAAGCATTATATCCATCCAAGCAAATGTATATTTTGAGAATTATAAGATATCTAATTGTAGTTTCAAATCGTACAATTAAATTATGAATATTAAAAATTATGAATATTTATTGAAATTACGAATTAATGAAATATTAATAAATATAAAAGGATACCTTTGTATCGTATGTCGCTTCGCGAAATTCAAGTTCTTATACTTTCTGAAGTAATATTATAGGGTCTTCGAAATTTATATAAAAATGAAAAGAAATAAAAAGAAATTACAACTTTTGTTTATATTATAATAACGAAGATCAATATCCGTGAAATTTGCACTAAATTCAAATATATATATATATATATATTTTTTTTTTTTTTCTAAGATTTGTATGAAAATTAGAATGAAAAGAAATTGTTTCTGTTAGACTCCATAGTGATATATGGAGAGAAGAAAAAAAAGAAAAAAGAAAAAAAAAATAATCTCTCATGACTCGGCCCAGTCGTTGCTTCAGAAAATGAACATTTCATTAGACGTTATTATCATCATCATCATCATCATCATCATCATCATCATCATCATCATCATCATCTCGGTCGTCGTCCTTTGTTACGTTCGTATACAACATCTGTCCGACGATCCATCCGGAAGTCCTAAGCGCAACAGCACCTTCGTTATCCAGTTTGAGATTCTTTCTCGTGCTACGTCATCGTTATATTTATTACATTCTTTATAAGCCTCTATTATTTCTTATGTATATGTATATATATATATATATATATATATATGTATATGTATATGTATGTCTATATGTATATACATATTGTTCTCTTATTAACAAAGAAATATCATATTGTACGCAGTGACGAATCCACCTACACGAAAAATTGGCTCCGTTGCGGATATCGACCCGGTGAACGACTATTACGGATCGCTCACGCCTGCGACGAATAACAATCACGTGATACAGCATCAGCAACCACCACCACCACCGCCACCTACCAACGTCGGAGTGAGTTATTATCCTTTACGCGGCAATTTGAACGCTAATTTATATATTTATCTTATCTTGTAAATGTAATAACGTTTTAAACGCTTATTACAAAATGGATAAAAATGTTATGAAATCGTAATAATTTTTAAGTTGCACACGATTTATTCGTGTGTAAATTTCTTTTTTTTTTTTTATATTTTACTTCATATATATTTGCACATATATATATATATTTTTTTGTTTCCTCATTTTTACCCGTCAACAAATTATTATTTAATTTCATTTAATTATTATTATTATTATTTTTTTTTCTTTTTTTTAATAAGTATATAAATACAATATAATCGTATTAGAGTATATCATATTATACAATATATAAGATAATTTATATACTGTACTGTAGTATATGTATATTTCGTTATAATGTAATTGTATTGATAGAAGTTATACTTAAATAATTTTTCATCAATAATATAATATTATATACGTTAATATAAATATTTATAATTGATAAATTATACTTTATATTTTTCAGAGAGTCTACAGAGCGATGTACGATTACGAGGCACAAGATTTGGACGAAGTAAGCTTCTGTGACGGTGACCTGATTGTTAACTGTACAGCCATCGACGAAGGATGGATGACCGGTTTGGTACAACGTACAGGTCGGCACGGTATGCTGCCAGCGAACTATGTCGAGCCGGCGCAAATCTAAGGACCATTTAAATATTTCAACGATGGATCTTCTTAGGCTAGCTGCCATTTAAACCTCTCGTTTGTTTGTTGGTCAACGTGCTTGGATTGAAACGTTTCGCGATTGAAGGAAACGCTAGAGTACACTGATGGTGTGCGTGCGTGTGTGAGAGAGAAAGAGAGGGAGGGAGAGGGAGAGAGGGGGAGAGAGAGAGAGAGAGAATATTCTTTTTATTTGCGAGAGAGATCGTCCGTTTATGTCCCACTCTTTATGTACAATGCTCTCCTTGCCGTGTTAGAAAAGATAAACAAAATGTCGAACAGGACACCTTAGAGACGTGTGTATATCCTGTTCGAGAGATTGTTTCCTTTCTTTCTTTCTTTTTTTTTTTCCTCTTTTTTTTTATTTTCTATTTTTAACTATTATTTCCTTTTTTTTCTTTTTCTTTTTTCTTTTTTCTTCTTTTTTTCTTTTTGTAATACGAAGAACAAGAAACGAGATAATCCTATTGTCAACGAATACGATGAGAAAAAACGCTTCGTTCGTTTTAGTTTTGTTGACGTCGGTCATTCTCGTCGTAGCATTCAGACGTCCTGCTCCTTCTTCGTCTTACCATAATGCATCTTTCGTTTCTTTTCTTTTTTCTTCTTTTTTTTTTTTTTTTTTTTTAATTTGTCTTTTTTTTCTTTCTCTTTTTTTACCATACCGTTTTTGCACTTTTAATGTATCAAATGTTATCAATATATACATACATACATACATACATACATATATATATATATATATATACATACATATATATATGTATATATAGACCTCTAAAATAATAATATTTTATATATATATATATGAAAAATGAGATATAGTAGCGATATATAATTACGAGTTGGGGACCAAGCATTTTGTAATGAATTACATATATACATGCGAACGAACAAAGGAGTATGCTTGAATTGGATAAAATTTTTTTTTTGTTTCTTTTTCTTTCTTTCTTTTCGTAATATTCTTAATCGAAATGACGATACTCCTTATCTTCGTTCGCTTGATGCTGGCGCAAATGCGATTTTTTACACGATTCAATTCTTTATCTTCCAAAATGTCTTCCTTCTCTTGAATAATAATTCAAGAATGACCAATCAAGAATTCGAAACGTTGCCTTTCGTCGATGAGATACATCACCGTTATTATACACATTCCTTGATCGTTGAAAGATTCTAATGATTTTTTTTTTTCTTTTTTTTTTTTTCTTTTTATGGAAATGAAGAGATCAGTAGTGCATTTAATATGCGGGGATTCAAAAGTTCCCACTAAGGGCTTTTTATGAGGTCAAAAATATCTCAGCGATGTTAAATATCAATTATTTCTTTTTTTTTCTACTTCAAGATCCTTAAAAAAAAAAAAAAAAAAAAAAAAAAAAAAAAAAAAAAAAAAAAAAAGGGCTCTAATTATTCTATTAAATTTGTAAAACTACGAGCCTGTTGTTCAAATTAAAGGTCTAATGATTCCAAGAAAAGAAAGTAAATTGCATTTTAAATATCGCTTAGGTATTTTTGACACTCTCTTATCTATGTCCCGATATTCTCCACAACCCCATCCCCCTTTCTTCGTCTAGGAACTTTTGCCGTTCTTCCCCGTATACGTAAATCGTACAAAATGATCGTGAAAAATCACCCTGTGATTCTTGTGCCTTTGTCGCCTTTGTCGCCTTTGTCGCCGTTTTCTATCGATCTATTCCTTTTTTTCTTTTTCTTTTTAATCTTTAATTTTTTGTTCTCGTCTTTTTCTTCCTCTTTGTCTTCTTCTTCTTTTTTTTTTCTCTCTGAAGAAACACCACGAATGAAAAGAATTTATTTATTGTACCGCTACGTGCCTTATATATAAATATAAATATATATATATATACATACAAGTATATATACATGTATGTATATATATATATATATACACATATACACACATACGTAGGATGATTTTGAATTTGATCAACTTCGAGAATATTTGATACATATAAATATAAATATTCATATACGTACTATTACATAGCATAATTATTGTTTAATTTTTATATATATATATACATATATATATATATGTATGTATATATATATAAATGAATATATAAAGAGAGAAAATTTGTCATATATATTTTATACGATCGAACAAACGTTAAAAAGAGAACAACAAACATGTTAGTTTTTATAATTATTATTATAGCTTAGCGAAAAAAAAAAAGAAAAAGATGTGTAATTCGCTTTTAAAAACAGGAAAAAGATAATAATCGTTAAAAATGTTATTACTGATTCTTCATTCTCTTTTTTTTTTTTTTTTTTTTTATATTGTTTCTTTTTAACTAATTATAGTTATTAACCGACCAATTTTTTACTTGATAGTTTTTAAGAGTTCCATCGCAACACATTACTACGGTCCCGCCTGTTGTAATTTTTACGTCTCTTTTGAAATTATTGTAATTCTCATGTTCTTCTATTTCGCTTCTTTCTCTTTCTCTCATTATTTTTTTCTTTTTTTTTTTTTAAATGCTACTTCATTTTATTTTATTTTATTTTACTTTTTTTTTCCTCCCCCCCTTAACACGAATAATCTCGCAACGCAGAATGTCTGAGGATACATACTTATGAGACATCATACATATATATATATATATATATATATATATATATATATTTTATATATATATATATATGTGTGTATATATATACAGGATGGACCAAAAGTCTTTAACTGGATTTTATAAATCAATTACTCTTTTTCGAGAGTTTTTAGACTCTCATTTAATACACTTATAGTTTTACAAAGCAAGAAAGAAAAGATTGGCCTAAAGCTTAAAAGAAAATATCTATGACAAAGGAATCGATTTTTTTTTTTTTTTTTAAATAGTCCCACCATCCTGTATAAATTTAATGCGTCCGATCACATTTTACAACGTATATTTGTTTTGCTATTATTTCTTTCTATCGTTTTTTCTTTCTTTTTTTTTTTTTTTTTTTATCCTCATTTTTCTTTTTCTTTTTTCCTGTCTTACTTTTAATTTCTTATTTTTCTTCAAATGCCTCGTGGAAAAGTAAAAAGTAAAAAAGAAAGCAAATAAATAAATTGTCGATGCGTTCATGTGAAAAGAAAAGAAAAGAAAAAAAGAAAAAAAAAAACGTTAAAAAATTTCATTAGTGAAGCAATAATGATCGGGGGTTTCCTTAGAAAAAAATAAATATATATTCATATCAACATTTACCTGAGTAGAATGATAGAGTTTAGGGCCGACGTTGTTGTTGTTGTTATTGTAGTAGTGCTCTTTAAGTTGATCCATTAAGAATGATGATGATGATGATGATGATGATGATGATGATGATGATGATGATGATGATGATGATGATGATGATAGAAAGTATGAAAGGAAATTAAGAAACAAAAAAAGAAACGAAAAAGAAAAAAAGAAGGAGAAAAGAAGAGGGGGAAAAATATAATTAAATAATATAAAATAAATAAATAAATAAATAAATAAATAAATAATTAACTAAATAAATAAATGAATAAATAATGATAAATAATTATGCGATCTGTGGAAAGAATGATATGACTATTATCGAATACGTTGTTTTAGAGAACACTCTCACTCGCAACGCCGTCGGTCGACTTCGTGATACGCGAAGAAAGAAATCATATTTCTTGAGATATCTATGTTACTAAGCAGTTCTTTGTAATTATAAAGGAAAAGAAAAAAAAATATTTTGCTGATAAGATTATTATAATAATAATAATAATAATAATAATAATAATAATAATAATAATAATAATAATAATAATAATAATAATAATAATAATAATAATAATAATAATAATAATGATGATGATGATGATGATGATGATAATGATAATGTTGATGAAAATGATAATGATGATATATGATTACGATTCGAAAAACATACAGAAATATATGTTAGCGTTGTGTTTAGACAGATAATATTATATTATGATATGAAAATCATAAATAATGAATATGTATGTTATGTAACTCGTTTTTTCTTATTATTTATTTAGTATATATATCTTTAAGACCGATCCATTAATTCCTTTTCCTTTTCAAAACACTCGTCGAATATTTTGACTTGTAAATTACATTTCGTAATTGTTCATAAACGTTCATAAGAATACGAATTTATAAAATATTTGCATCTTCATTAATAATAATAATTATTATTATTATATGTAATAAGAATAATAATAATAATTATTATTATTATTATTATAATAGTGATAGCAATAGTCCTGTTTGAATATGGTCAAATTAAGAAGATGCATATCTTCTGTCAGGATGGATGGATGGATGAGCCAAAAGTTTTTAGATGATTTTCAAAATTAATAATTTCTTTTTGGATTAAATATTTTTTTCCTTTCCTTTATTTTCCCCTTAAATCGTAAAACCACAAGTCTGGCATGTAAAATTTCAAATCTAAAATGCAAACCTAATTAATTACGAAAGAGAACAATTGATTTTTTCAATATCACTTAAGAGATCTTTAGTCCATTATTTATGAGACAAATTATTGGTCTTACTTTTAGTATTTATTTATTTATTTTTTTTTTATATTTAATAATAAATTTCATAAACCTTATATGATGACTAAGAGAAAAAAGAGTACTTCTTCCTTTTTTTTTTTTTTTTTTTTTTAATTATCAAACTCACTTTAGCTTTCAAAGCACATTTTCTTTCTGTACGCGCGCTGTCATTTATTTTGTTTCTTCGAATTTTGTCGATTGTACAAAAATTGCAATTGCAGCAACAATAGCGGCATAGCCTTCGCTCGTATTTAAGCGCGAATTTAAACGCATGAAATTTTTCAAAAGTATATTAGGAGAACGATAAAAGAATTATTATTAATTACTTAGAATCTAAAACGATGGGAGATGTAATATCTCGTTTATATAAATTAGACCGCATTAATTACTTGACAATATTGAAACTAAATGATATATAGATAAAACGATCGATTGAGAGATTATTAATTATTGTTATTAATATATAATATCATTCGTCGGAATGTGTGTTTTTATGTAAAAGATTATTATATATCATTATTATTATTATTATTATATATATATATATATCGAGAACGATTGTCAACGTTAATTACAAACAACGAATGCTTAGGATCCTTTTTTTTTCTGTTTTCGTTTTTTTTTTCTTCTTTTCTTTTCTTCTTTCTTAAGCGTACAAATCTTTATACGAAATTAAAATTTCATTGAAAGCATAAATTTCTTCTTACATAGTCGTAGACACGTGTTTTATTTTATTTTATTTTATTTTACTATTATTTTCTTTCTCTTTCTTTTTTCTCTTTCTCTTTCCCTCTCTCTGTCTCTCTCTTTTTGCACTTTGGTTTCACAGATAAACAATTTGCATCCTTTTTCTCGTTTTCATTATTTTTAATATACTTTTTACAATCATTTTTTTGTTGACGTTGTTCTTATTCAAGAACGAAATTCTCACAAATTTGTTTTATTTCTCTATTTTTTTTTTTCTTTCTTTTTTTTCCAAAATTTTTCCAAAACCTCGTCGAAATTGTATTAAATGAACACAGAGATATATATATGCATGTATATATATATATTTTTTTTTTTTAAGAGTGTTCGGTCAAGTAACGCTTATACATTTTTTATGTTTAATTTGTCGTATGTACGGTACGTAGAATGTTTCTCATTAAAATGTGAGCGTTATTGACACGTTTTTTCTTGATTTGTTTTTTTTCTTTTTTTTTTTTTTTTTTTTTTTTTTTTTTTTTTTTTTAATATACATAAAAAAAAGCTGCGAACAACTTATTTCAACGGACTTAGGAACGATACGTTATAGTTATTACGAAGGCTAATGAAAATAAGCTTACCAACTCTACGAAGCGATTTTTTTTCTTTTCTTTTTTTTTCTTTTTTTTTCTTTTTTTTTCTTTTTTTTTTTTTTTTATTACAAACATTTTATTTTTTTTTTATTTTCGAACAAGCATAGAACCACGCGAAAAAATTGATAAAAAGGGGAGAAACATTAGATCGAGGATCGAATAGAACATTTGTGCACAATCGTACGCGAGACATTGATTAATGATCAAAGGGTCAATGGATGGGAAAAAAAAAACAAAAAAAAAAAAAAACAAAACAAAAGAACAATTTCATTAATTAGACGAGCTTACGCCTTGCGCACATAATTTTACGCTCAGATGATTTTACAAGGTTTTTAAGGAGGAGGAATATATCTACCCCCATTTTTTTTTCTACTCGATCTTTTATCCTTCAATAATATACGTAAGTATACGTGCAACATATATATATATATATATATATATATATATATATATTTAATTAATATATTTAACCCTTATATATAATATACATGATATTTAATAAATTACGATGCATGATCAAGTAATTCCTAAACGAAATTAAAAGTAATAAAATATAAAAATGGAATATCATAAGGGTTAAATATATATATATATATATATATATATATATATATATATTTTTTTTTTTTTTTCTTTGCAAAGTCTGACGTATGTGCCAAAGTTGAAATTAATTGGACATGTCAGAAATGTGTTAGCGTGCACTTGGCAGTGTCTCATTTTTCTTTATCGTAGCGTGAATAACAATTTCATTGAACATTTCCCTTTTTTCCCCCCCTTTGTGAATGTATATGTGTATACGCGTGTGTACGTGTTAACCCCCTTTTTTCAATTTTCTTTATTTTCAATAATAGACCAGCTTGTAAATCGTTCAGCCAATTCGTTAATATCCGGCGAGGTCGGCGAACGTCTGATCCATCTCGTCGGCGATGGCTTTGTACTTACAGCGCTCGTTTACCAGGACGTCTGTAATGGAGGGAACGTGCTATTAGTTTGGATGGATTTGTTAGTTGGTATACACAGATATATTTTAGTTTTTTTAATATTTAATATTATTAACTAAAGAAAGATAGAGATAGAGATAGAGAGAAAGAGAGAGAGAGAGAGATTATTGGTCAGTATTGTTATTATCGTTATTATTATTATAATTTTTTAAATTTCAGATTGAAGGTGTTCAATGATTAAGGCTTGATTATTATTATTATTATTATTATTGTTACTTTTATTAGTGAAAATAAAATCATAAAATTAACAAAAGATTGTTGATTAGTATCGAGGGATTAATTTTTGTTTTTTTCTTTTTTTAATTTTTAACGAAGGTTTTCAATGTGAAAGAGAGAGAGAGAGAAAAAGTGAGAAGGCAGAAGGGATGATTGATTATTATTATTATAAATAAATAAAAATGATTTTTTCTTTTATTTTTAAGGAAGAAAAAGGTTTAAAAAATTACATAAACGGTTCGTTTTCCCTTTCTTCTTCAGTCTAACATAACAGTCTGAAATGATATTGAAATTCGCGCGGATCGCGAGTTTTCGAGTTAACGTCGCGAGATGGCATCGTCACTGTTGTCGAAAAAAACGAATTCTTGGCGCGAAATTACGAATAGAACAAAGGTACGAAGAATGAGAAGGAGAAACTGAAGGATGGGAGGAGATATATATATAAAAAATATTGAAGAACGATAAATAACGCGGTACGTATTTATATAATATACAACGATTTCAGATAGTTACATTAGTAAAATACATTATTATGTTATACATCGTGGGTAATAATGTATATTTAGATATTTATATATATATATTTTTTTTTTGCTTTTATTGTTGTTGTTGTTATTGTTGTATATATAATAGCAGCAGCCAGCCCGTGCCGTGAAAAAGGGGCTACGACGATTTATATAACACTTGTTATCTTTTTTTTTTTTTCCGTTTTTCTTTTTTTTTCGTATGATGTTTCATAAAGAAAATCGACAGCAGGGGTTGTTTTGATGAAGACGTTGAATTTTTTTTTTACCTCAACAAGATTAAATTTAACCAACCAATTCGGTGAAGGTAAGATCCAGATCGTCGCAAATGTATTTGTACTTCTCTTTCTCGTGGACGAGCTCGTCTGAAAGGAAGCGAAAATTGATCAGAAAAGAAAAGAAAAGAAAAGAAAAATAATAACGAGAAGATTTTATATATATATATATACGAACGAACCGTGTTCGTTTCGTAAGTTTTGATTTATTTATTTACTTTTTATCTTTTCATTTTATTATTAGTATTATTATTTTTTTCTTTTTTTTTTTTTTTCTTTTTGAGGAACTCAGAGTAATAGATTTTTAATTCATTCTTCGAATTCGAAGTAATCGAACAAATTATAAAGCATCATTGTTCCTTTATGTATGTATGATATATATATATATATGTAATGTACATATGTGTAATTAATAAGATTGTAAACGATTTTTCTACGATCGGTAATGCAAAAAATGTGATTGTAATATCAGGAAAGAAGAAAAATAAAAAATAAATAAATAAATAAAAATATAAACAGAAATTTGTATAACTTTATCGACAAAAAAAGAAAAAAAGAAAAAAAAAAGTCTCCGCTGGTGTGTCCTGTAATCGCAGAAGGTTAATAATTGAAATAAGAGAAGAAAAGAAAGAAAAAAGAAATAGCAGTGTTTTTAGTTAATGGATTAGATTTTGTTATTTCTTCCTTTTTTTCTTACTATTGTTATTTGTTCTTTTTTTTGTTTATTTTCATGGCGAAGCAATTATGATGTTAAGAAGCGTTACAGCTTAATAAACTTACGGAATACGTGTTAAGAGAGCAAGCGAGACTGTAAGAAAGGTAATATTTTTTTCTTTTTTTAATTTTCTTTTTTGAATTTTTGGTTGAAGCGTTAAAGGGGGATGGTTAGTGGCGTTGTTAGACGCCATAGAGTTCGAAAAATGCATTATCCAGGCCATCGCCGATCTCCTTGTATTTCTCCTTTTCTGTCACCATCTCATCTGCAAGCATTAGCAATGTTATTTAGGGAGAAAAGCAGTATTATATACATATAAATATAAATATATTAATATAATTACTTCTTTAATTAATTATATACAAACTTGATAAAAAAAAAAATAATAATAATAATAATAGATGAACAGCGTTTCCTGTGTTATTTTTGTTATCGGTAGCTTGGCATTTGAATTAAATTAATTATCAGTGTATCAATTTATCAATTAATTATTGATTATCACTATACTAATTATTTAACTATATAAAGATTATATTAATTATACAGATTGGATCGAAAAAGATCTATTTTAGATCGTAGATCTATATTAAAAATCTATTTATTTATTATCGAGACACTTTCGAAGACTTTTAATTAAGTAGGTAATTGTTACTTAATACAATCCGATGAAATGGAAAAAAAAAAAATGGTTTTCGAGGAAAAATTTTATTTATTGATTTTTAAAATAACATAAAAACTTTTTCGCACGTAACTGTGTAATTAATAGATAAGTATACTTTAGACTATATTAATTGTACGAATTATTGTATCATATTTTATAGAGATATATTTTTTAGAACTTAAACTTTTTTTTTTTTTTTAATTATTCACATAATATTAATATTAAGCACGTAATTTCGGCAAAAAAAAAAAAAAATATAAATATAAATAAGTAAAAAATAAAAAAATAAAAAAAAAAAGGAAAAGTAATTAAAAAATTAATGTCGTTCTTATATTTAATTAAAAATTCGAGGTAAAAGGTAAAAAGAGTACGACGAGGAGTATATGAAAAATTAAAATATAAAGAAAAAAGAAAAAAAAAAAAAAAAAAAAAAAAAAGAAAAAAAAAAGAGAAAAGAAGAAGAAAATCTCGTCGTACTCTTTTAATATCAAACGAGGATGTGTTAATTAGCAAAAAACAACAAGCAGGATAGTACTTACTATTTCGGCGATGATCAACAGCGATCACGTAGTTCACTTCTCTTCGTGTACGAAGACATGCAAGATCACAATCGGGTGTTTTTAACGGACAGGCAGGCGCAGCCAGTTATGTATACACACATATATATATATATGTATGTATGTATGTGTATATATATATATATGTACATATTTATTAGACGCGTGGACACGCAGTTGTCAGTCGCAGCTGATTTTATTTGCATGGATATTTATATTTATTTATTTATTTATTTATTTTTATTAGATTTTATTTCTTTCATCTAATGTCAAAAAAAAAAAAAAAAAAAAAAAAAAGAAAAAAAAAAGAACAGATAAAGAAAAAAAACATTGGATCAAAGATGGATATTGTTAGAGCGCAAAAGAGAGAAAAAAAATAAAATAATAAAACAAACAAAGAACAGTTAAAATTGCAAAAAGAAAAAATGAAAAAAAGAAAAAGAAAAAAATTGAAAAGATAAGATAACAAAAAAAAAAAAACAACAACAAACTGCACACACACACTCGGGTTTTTCAAAATTAAAATATATATTATAAACAGTTTTATATATATATATGTGTATATATATATATATAATAATAATAATAGTAATATATATGTATATGTATAATAATAATCATTATTATTACAATGTGTTATTAGAGTGTTATTATCATTCCATTCGTTTATTTTAATATTAAGTAAATTAATAAACTAAAACTCTTCTCTTTCGTGTTGAAATTGATTTTTTTTTTACTTTTATTTATTTTTTTTTTTATTTTTTTTTATCTTTTTTTGTTTTTTTTTTGTTTTGTTTTGTTTTTATGTAAACTCAATTTATATGTATATGCGTTATCTATCTGCATTTCCCATTTCGTTCGTTTATATTGTTCCTCCTTCTTCTTATTTGTTGATAATAATATTATTATAATATTTCTTTCGTTTTGTTTTTCCTATTAAAACATTATCTTTGTAATGGATAGGCTAGGGATGAGGAGTTCAATAGGTTGGGGTTTTGAGGGTTAAGAATGGGGTAAAAGGGGAAAGAGAAAACTTGTATATAAATGAGTGAATGAGTGATAGTGAAAGAGAATAATATAGATCGGAGAGGTGTCGGTGGATGTGAAATAATTAATAAAATTAATTAAATGTTTTTACGCAACGACTCGCGCGATTCGCGATTGTGCTTTTTCATAGAAGATAAAAAAGAAAATGAAAAAGAAAAGGAAAGAAAGAAAGAGAGAGAGAGAAAGAGAAAGAACTCTATTCTTTTTTTATCTTTCATAATTGCGATTCTATTTATCTATGAACATTTAGCAACTCGGATGCCCTTCAAGTCTTTCTACAAATAAAATCTTCTTTAAATATTTTTTTTTTCAATCTGTCTCTCTCACATACTCTCACATACTCTCACTCCTCTCTCTATCTCTCTCTCTCCTTGTCTTCATATTATTTTCATTTTTTTTTTCGTTTTGTTGTATTCGAAAAATAATTAAAAAAGAGAGAGAAAAAAAGAAAAAAAAGAAAAATAGAAAGACCAAAAAAAATATCGTCCAAAAGAAGATCGAACTTGATTAACGAATCATTATTATAATGTTACTCGAAAGTAAGAAAGAATAGTAATAACGATAATGATAATAATAATAATAATAATAATAATAATAATAATAATAATAATAATAATAAAAATAATAATAATAATAATAATAATAACAACAACGATGATAAGATGGTGAAGATTTAAAAGGAACGAAATTAAAAGAGAAAAAAGAAAAATAAAAGAAATGTGAATGTGGAATAAAGATGGCAAAGGGTTGAATAGAAAGTAGAAAGGGGGAGGGAATTGGATAGGTAGGCAGGTGCAGGCGAGTTAAGGGTGGCGGAAGAAAAACTTCAACGAAGAGAGGACGAACCCGCTTGACGATTTGGCAGTGTGGGGCGTCACGTAATTAAATGCACGCTTTTTAATTACTCATCCCGAAAGAGAGAAAAAAAGAGAAAGAGAAAGAGAATTAGAGAGAGAAAGAGAGAGAGGGAGAGGGAGAGAGAGAGAGAGAGAGAGAGAGAAAAGATTAATAGTCATAGGTAAAGAAAAGAGAGAAGAAGAAAAGAGATATTAATCTCTATCTATCTATCTATCTATCCATCTATCTATCTATCAATATATCTATTTATCTATCTATCTATCTATCTCTTTCTCTCTCTTATTTCTTTTCGAACGAAAAGATCGAGATCCACGAGAGAAACGAGCCCCTAGGAATGTATATATATATATGTATATATCTATGTATGTATTTATTTATTTATTTATTTATTTACTTATTTATTTTTATTTTTCATCTTCGTCTTTTCGTAACGAGGAATGTTTGTCGATTAAGAGAAAAGAAAAGCAAAAGAAAAGAAGAAAAAAAAAAAAGAAAATTAATTAATAGAAGAGAGTAGTATAACACACCTAATGCAATACATGGAGATGGGGGGTGGACGGGTGGGGGGGGTGGGGGGTTGGTTGATGCGAGGACCATCAAAAGATTCACGTAGGTGATATTTAAAAATCGATTTAGGTATACCTTTTTCTTTTCTTTCTATTTCTTTGTTCTTTTCTTTTTTTTTTTTGTTGTTCTTTTTTTTTCGTAACCCTCTTCTTCCTAGGATCGCAATTAGGCTCTCTTGTTGTTTTACCAATACGAAGGGAAGGGGAAAAACCAAGAGAGAAAGAGAGAGAGAGAGAGAGAAAAAAAAAGAAAGAAAGAAAGAAAGAAGAAAATTAGCTCGTAAAAGTCACGTGTAAAAGGATTTAATTAATCTTTACGATGACTTTTCTCTCTTTTTTTCCTTTTCTTTTTTCTTTTTTTTTTTTAAAGAAATTTTTCTGTTCCCACCAACCCTGTATCAACATCCTCCCCATATAGCAACTAAGTAATTTGATCATCATCATCATCATCATCATCATCATTATCATTATTATTATCATTATCATCGTCATTATTCTTGTGATCGTCGTAATCGTATCGATTGAATTCACGATAGTACGAGACACGTATGAATTTTAAATTATTTCTAGTTATTTTCTTTTTTTTTTCTCTCTCTCTCTCTCTCTCTCTCTTTTTCTCTCTATCTCTATTATTATCACTATCACTATCTTTTTCTCACTTCGTTCGCACGCTTACACGCATACACAAACAGACACGCACACACACATACACAGAGGGGGGGGGGGGGGTACATATACGTTTATACTTTTTGTCTCTCTCTTTCTCTTTTTTTTCCTTATTTGTTGTTCCTCCTTGTATACACAGAGAGACAACGCATTCATGCTCACACACACATATTCATACGTAAGACACGTACTAAGAGACATCACGCATTAGTCACATACACACACATACACGCACGCACGCGCATAATGCGCGTGCACACATACACACACGTTAGACTGATTCTCGCAAAAGAGAGAGAAACGTATTTTAATATATATATATATATATATATATATATATATATATATACACATACACACATATATATATGTGTACGTATATTATTATAACTATTATTATTATTGTTATTATTGTTATTATTATTATTACTACTGTTACTACTTAAGAAGCGTGCACCACCACACGGAAAAAATAATCCGTACGCGAGCGCGCCTTGGAAAATTATTGAAATAATAAAATAATAAACTTATTAATAATAAAGCGTGGCTCGTTTCTCTTTCTCGCTATAATATATACGTTGCTGCTTCTCTTCTGCTCTCTCTCTTTTTTTTTTTTCTTAATCAATCAATCAATCAATCAATCAATCAATTATTAATATCTTTTTGTCTTTTTTTATCCGTTTTTTTTTGTTTTTCATTATGTTTATAACGTACGTGCGTGTTTCTTATCTTTCCTCTTTCTTTTCTTTTTTATTTTTTTTTTTTTTAACTCGATTCTCTATATTATATATTTTATATATATATATATGCGCACGCGCACATGTGTGTGTATGTGTATATATCTGTTTCTCTCTGTGTATGCGTTATCATCCTCTTTTGTTGTTGTTGTTGCTGTTGTTGTTGTTGTTGTTGTTGTTGTTGTTGTCGCATCGTTTATTTTTCTTTCAGTTCGTTCGTTCGTTCGTTCGTTTATTTGTTTGTTTGTTTGTTTATATGTTTATGATCTGTATATTGTTATTATCGTTATCATTTCACGAACGTCCAGACCAACACACGATCTACATGTTCTGGATGTCATGCAGGGTGGCTTCCATTTCCTCCTGGAGCAATTTGTTTTTCTCTCTCTCGGCTGCGAGGTCGTCTGTAAAGATTACCGTTTATAGAGGGAGAAGAAGAGGGGTGTGTCCAAAAGAACACGTACGCGAGAGAGCCAATAGAATGAATGGATTTTTCGCGGGGTTGTTTTAGTTTTTTTTTTTTTTATTTTTTTTTTTCTTGTATATTTCTCTTTTTATCATTGTTGTTTAGAGAACTAAGACGAACGAAGTGGGGGATATGAGGGTGGAAAAGGTGTTCTCGCAAAAATGCTGGCAAATAAGTATGGGGGTGCGAAGGGGTAAAGAGGGGGGAGCGTTGGCTCACAATAGTTAGGACTTAGTCGATGCAACAGTAAAAACACGGCACACGAGCTTGCAAACCAGAAAAAAAAGAATATATCTGCATTTTCATATAAACAGGAAAAACCGCAAAAAAAGAAAAAAAAAAAAGAAAAAGAAAAAGACAAAAAGAAAAATAATTAAAGGCTTAATTCTTTGATTACTTCACGATTATCGATAATCATCATTGTGCTTTAATATCATTTTTCTTTTTGTTTTTCTTTTTTCTTTTTTTTTTTTTTTTTTTTTTAATTTAAAGCTTCTCGTGGGTCCTTATAAAAATCCGATTTTTTAATTCAACTTTCTTGTTTATTTTTCTTTTCTTTGCTTTTATTTTATTTATTGTTTCGTTTGTGCAAATTAAAAAAATTTTTCACTTTCCCGATTCTTCTTTTTTTTTTTTTTCTTGCAAAAAATCATGAAATTTTATTGGCCAGTATGTAAATTGTTTTTCCATTTTTCTTTGAAATAAAATTTTTCCAAATAATCGATGAATGTTCTCCTTGTTTATTTCGATTATGTTATACAACGGTAAAAAAAAAAAAAGAAGTGCATACAAAAATCGGATTTTCATGGAACGTAGCTCGAGTCGATGCGTTAATGTTCATAATTAGGAGCCGTATTCACAAATCAAACGTCGATTAATGTTATTCATTTGTTAATTATAGTTGCTTGATAACCGATTACCTCGATATGTTTTATATTTTTTTTATTTATTTTTACTTTTTATTTTTTTATTATTATTATTTTTTTCTTTTTTTTTTATTAATATATACATCTATATGTATATATATACCGCCAAAGTGATCTGAAATCTTGAAGAAATTTCAATAGACAATACGATATATATAGCAACGAGCGATATATATATATATTATGTTATATAATATATATTTGCTGTCGATAATTAATTTATCGATTCATCATTGTTGTTCTCTCTCTTCTCTCTTTCTTACTATCAATATGTGAGCACAATAATAATAATAATAATAATAATAATAATAATAATAATAATAATAATAATAATAATAATAATAATAATAATAATAATAATAATAATAATATCAATGACAAAAATATCAATGCCACATGATATTACTAAACATGCTTTTGAGGTAAATTTAAAGGAAAGAGAGAGAAAAAAAATTAAATCAGTGAAAATAAAATTGAACAAAATTTTGAAAAATGAATTTTTAAAAACTAAATAAAATGAAATAAATAAAATAAGAAAGAAAGAAAGAGAAAGAAAGACGGGATATGAAAAAAAAAAAAAAAAAAAAAAAAAAAAAAAAAGGCTCGTTTTTAAATACAAAAAAGAAAAATATAAAATAAAATAAAATAAAATAAAATAATAATAATAATAATAATAAAAAATTAGAAATAGTAAATGAAAATAGTTACGAGAAAGAGGAAAATCTTCTGAAAGAAAATCGAATCGATAAAAACGCGTTTAAATGTACGAAAGATGACGAGATATAACCGACGACGCTCGTCTTCTCTTTTTACTCACGTTTTTTTTTTTTCCTTATATTACGATCCTTTTTTTTTATATATATATATATTTTTTTTTGGTTTTGTTTTATACGCACCTTCGAGCCTGTCGACCTCCTTCTGAAGTTTCTGCACCGATCTCTCTGCGAACTCGGCGCGAGCTTCAGCCTGTAAAATGTTTAGAAATTATTAGAAAAATTTTTCTATGAATATATGTACATTATATTCTTGACACATACACACGCACGCACGCACGCACGCACGTACGCACGCACACTCCGTCGACTTCGAAAATAAATAATAGAAATCATCGTTAAAGAACAAAAAATTGAACTAACATTCAATCCGAAATTGCAATCGATTTTTGAAATTTCGAATACAAATAAGAAGTGAAAGTTGTTCAATGAAGTGAATCGATGAAAAATTCCAAAAATGAATTCGATCGTTGATTGCAAAATGGATTTTCAAAATTTCTAAAATTAAAATAAACGAAAAGTAGTATAGACCTCGAAAATGGTATAGAATAAAATCTATTTTGAATTGCAATTGATTCTAGTGATTCTGAAAATAAATGTTAAAGATTGATTGATAAAAATCGTGCCGATTTTAATTCAATCATTATAGATTGCAAATAAATTTTCGAGATCGACGTATAATCATTAAAAAGTGAGGAATGTATATTATTTCAAAAAAAAATAAAAAAAAAAAAAATAAAAAAAATAAAAAAAATAAAAAATTCCACACCATGCAAAAAAGAAAACAAAAAAAAAAAGAAAAAGGAAAAAGAAAATTCAAAGAAAATATCAATGAATTTATTATCGTCGTGTAATCTATGTAAACCAGTTAGTTAAAAAAAATTTTTTCTTTAATTGTCTTTCTTTTCCTTTTCTTTTAATTTCTTTTTCGTTTTATTTTTAAGAATTATTATAATTTAATTTTATATGATTAAGAAAAAAAAAAGAAAAAAGAAAAAAAATTGCACAACAGTCAAACAAAACTCGCATTCCTCGCATACCTGGAACGATGTGAGATAATGCGCTTCTAAGGATGATGATAAACTTACATCACTTATGTATACCTAAATTTTTTTTTTTTTTTTTCACTAAACTCTTTCAATCATCGAAATTTTTTTACAAAATTTCGAAATTCTTAATAAAGTTATATGATAAATAAAAATTTATATAAAGTTATTTTATTAAAAATATGAATTTTGAATTTGAAATAAAGAATTTGATAAAAAAGAATTTGATAAAAAAGAATTTGATAAAAAAGAAAAAAAAAATGTAATTATAACAACAAAAAAGACATTTCTTAATTCTATTAAACTGATATATATATATATATATTATATATTTATTTATTTATAATTATGTATTTATATATATATATTTTTTTAATTTTTTTTTCCATCCGATTTTTTTTATACACATATTTTTTCTACATTTTCAAAATATACATTCTAATTATGCTTACCTCTTTCAACTGACTATCCAAGATCTTGACCTGTCCCTCGAACGTCTCCTCTCTTTGCGTCGCCTATTTTTTTTTAGTGAAGCACAAGAAAGGCCAAAAAAAAAAAAAAAAAAAGAAGAAAACAGAAAAGAAAAACACGAGCCATCGTTAGTACATGATTATTACAAAAAAAAAACGCTAAATTAGTTTTTTTTTTTTTTAATTATTATTATTATTATTATGTGTGTGTATACGTCGCACTAATGCTCTAAATTCGCTTGCAAAATTCAGAACTCGATGAAAAGGTATGTATGGCATGTATGTATGTATGTATGTATGTATGTATGGCATGTACATATGTATAGATATATCTATAAGAAGGGGTATGTGTGTGGGGGGTGTGATAGGCGGCGCAGGAGGTGTTAATTTTTTTTTCTTTCTTGTTTTTGTTTTTGTTTTAGTACTACGATCTAATGCGATGTGCGTCACAGGCCTGATATCTATCGACGCTTATTAATATTAGATACGATCGTGACAAACCAACGAAACAAACAAACGAGAGAGAGGGAAAAAAAATAATAAAAAAAAAAAAATAATTAAAGATTAAAGAAAAAACCAAGAAAAAAAAACAAAAAAAAAAAAAATAAAAAAAAAAGAACAAACAAACAAAAAGAAGAAGATGTATGAAACTAAATTAAAAAAATCAAGACAGAGTAATGCAAAAGCGCAAGACACTCCCAAAGGATGTGTACCTCCTTTAGACGAGTGGTAAGGGTCTTAATTTGGTTCTTGTATTCCTCCTCGCGCTGGTTGGCCTACGTACAGTACATTACATTACATTTCTCGATAATATATTAAAAGGAAGAAGAAGAAAAAAAAGACGATGAAAAAATAAAAAAAGAAGATCTTACAAGAAGAAGTAGAAGTAGAAGAAGAAGAAGAAGAAGAAGAAGAAGAAGAAGAAGAAGAAGAAGAAGAAGGGGATCTTTATTTGGTATTATGTACGCAATTTAATTGGACGTAAAAGAAGGAAAAAAAGAAAGAAAGAAAGAAAGAAAAAGTAAAGAAAAAAATAGGGCAAAAAAAAAAAAATGGTAATTACAAACGAGAAAAATTATCGAAACGAACGGAATATATACCGTTAATAGTTATTTCTTTTTAATTATCGATCAAAGAAAATTGTTTTTAATTAAAACAATCTAACAGATCTTCGTAAAGATATTTTAATATTTTACCATTCTACCATTAACATCTCTTCCTTATCAGACTAACGTAATTAACATTAATTAACAATATTGTTATTAACTTTTTTTTTCTTTTTTTTTAATTTTCATTTTTATTTAATAAGTATTTATAATTGTAACAACAATCCTACTATTCGTAATAAATTGGCCAATTAAATTCGACGTATGTATATGTATCCATTCGATAACCGATTTTTTTTTCTTTTTTTTATTTATTTATTTATTTATAACGAATAGAATACTAACTAACACTGCGATATTATAATTCGAATTTGTAATGGTTCCTTTCGTACTTTTTTTTTTTTTAATTTTTATTATTATTATTATTATTATTATTATTATTATTATTAACTTTACCTTCTCCTCCGAGACCTCGAGGGATTTCAGGTTATTACCGACCACGCGCAGTTCCTCCTCAAGTTCAACGATTTTGCTGTAAAATAAAGAGAAAAAAAGAAACGGGATAACAAAAATCGATCGTAAAATCCTTCCAAAATGGAGATATCCGCTCCCCTCCCACTACCCCCTCCCCTCTTTTCCCGTTTTTACCCGATCTTTTCGAGGTATCGAAATATCTCACGTAACAAATTACAAAGAAGAAAAAAGAGAGAGACAGAAAAGAAAAAAAAAAAAATAAATAAATAGATCGTAACAACGTCAAAAGATTTTTGCTAATTTTCATTTTTCTTATTTTTTCTTTTTTTTTTTTTGTCTTCTTTTTTTACATTTATAATTTTCAAAAGTACATTCATACGATCAATCAATTAAATTGAATTTAAAATGATTGGAGAGAGATAAATCGATCGACTCGACGAAGAACATCGACGAGGAATGGTAATGGCGAATAGGGAAAGAGAGAGGAGAGAAGAGAGAGAGAGAGAGAGAGAGAGAGAAAAAATAAAAATAAGTAAAAAAGGAATAAAGAAGTGGTAGTCGAGTCAAAAAGGATGGATGGATGGATGGATGGATATAAATGGATAGACGGATAAATAGATAGTTATAAAAAGTAAGATTCATGCAAAATGGGGGGTGTGTCCCACTTACGCTTCCGATAATTCTGCCTTTTCCTCGGCCCTTTCGAGGTCCTGCTCCATCATGACTAGTTTCCTTGCGACCTGTGATCAACAGCCACACGTGTCATGCGAATAAAGCAAGAGGAGAACGATTATGAGAGGATTTATAATATGATAAATAGAAAGAGAGAGAAAGAAAGAGAGAGAAAGAGAGAGAGAGAGATATATATTAACACATTATTGACGTCATTGGGAAGTGAATCATGGTTAAGATACCAAACGATTGTTAATTCTACTCTCGTCAATATTTTAAATAGAAAGTTTCGTCCAATAAGGAATAAATGCGAAATTAAAAAAAATTTATATACGTTGTTTCAAACGGTTGGTATAATTATTGACATATTTCTTTTTTTTTTTTCCAATAAATATCCAAGAACTATTTCATGTCGTATATATAACGTCAATCATGAGTCAACATATGTGTCTGTGTATGTGTAAGAGAAAGAACTAATGTGTGTCTCAGAAAACTGAAAAAAAGAAAAGGAACAAAAAAAAAAAAAAGAAAAAGAAATATATAAAATAAAAAAAAATAAATAAATAAATAAATAAAGAGAACAAAAAATAAAACAAAATCAAAATCAAAATTACAAACAGTGCAGTTGTAATAAAACTTGGGATAATTAAATTTATATTTAAAAAAAAAAAATAATAAATAAATCAATCAATAAATCAATCAAAAAGGAAAAAAAAGTAAAATAAAATAAAATAAAATAAAAAAAAAAAAATTAAAAAATGGGTGTAGTGAGGGGGGCGGGGGAGAAATGAAAAAGAAAAGAAAAGAAAAAACAACGAAAAGAAAAGTATAGAAAATTTGTAAAAAAAATGTTCAAACGAATGACATGTATATGCGGTTAACGTTCCAGTCTCGCATGCAAAAGAAAAAAAAAAAACAAAAAAAAAAAATAAAGGAAACAACGAGACACTAATTTTAAGGGATTATTTCTTCGGAAATAAAACAACAAACGTTGAGCCCTGGCTGCTTCCATGTCCTTCTCCTTCTCCAGAAATGGTTCTGCTTTTCACCTACGCCTTCATGATCCTTATGCACTCTCATCGTTAACTGTTAAATTATTCATGGCACTCAACGGTGCAAACTTCGTGCCGTGTGATAAATAAACATTTTGTGTCGGCTGCGCTTTGCCTCTATTCGTGACCGAAAAAAAGTAAGAGAAAGAAAGAAAGAAAGAGAGAGAGAGAGAGAGATAAAAAAAAAAAGAAAAAGAAAGAATTTTCTCTTTGTCTTGCACAATGATATCTTTCAATTTTTCGCGAAGAAAAATAATTATTAAATATTAATTTTTAATATAATTAAATATAATATATATATATATTAAATATATATATATACATACATATGTAAATAAAATTAAAAAAATTTTTGTTCTACATTTTAAAAATCTCTCTCGCTTTTGATTGGTCACGAACGTACCCCCTCCAAAGGAAATCGTGATTTTTCTAATTTTTAATTAAACATTTTAGAATTTGATCATTATTATTATTAACATAAAAAACAAATTCAATACCGAAATATTATTTATATATATATATATTTTTTTTTTCTTTTTTCTTTTTCGATTTAAATTTGATTTCTCTCGAAGAGCGTACACGAAATATGTGTCGTTAAGCCAATTGAATTTTTTTTTTCGCACGCACGCACACAAAAACATAAATAAATACATACACGCAATAATGCCGTTATTACGACGGTGTCTGAAAGTGAAAGAATTAATAATAGTAATAATAGTAGTAGTAATAGTAGTAGTAGTAATAATAGTAAGTACGACGTGCAGCGAAAAAAAAAATAGAGAGAGAAAAAAAGAGAAAAAGAGAGAGATAGAGAGAGAGAGAGAGAGAGAGAGAGAGAGAGAGAGAGAGAGAGAGAGAGAGAGAGAGAGAGAGAGAAAGAGAAAGAGAAAGAGAGAGAGAAAGAGAGAGAAAGAGATAGAAAAATATACGAGAAAATATTGTAAACACATATTTCTCGATATATAGCAAACAAACATTAATATATATAATATATGACATAATTCAATAAATATGGCGGCATCGAGCGAGCGAGTGAGTGAGCGAGCGAGCGAACGAGCTAGCGTGTGAACGACAAAAATGTTTTGAACTCTCTCTAATTTTTTTTTTTTTAATCATCATCATCATCATCATCATTATTATTATTAATATTATTATTATTATTGTTGTTGTTGTTGTTGTTGTTCGTGAGCAGAGTGAGGGTAGTAGGAGTGGAGCGAGGCAAAAAAAAAATTATTAAATACATATCGGTAAAAATATCGCAGCACACGTTAGAAAGACTTAAGGGGGTTGAGAGTTGGAGGGAGGGAATTGAGAATTGGAAATTCGAGAGTTTCAGGATTAATGATCGATGGTTGAAGAGGATCGAGGGGGTGTGTGGCCGATGATGACGGGCAACGGGTAAAGAGGGTTGGAAAAGAGGGCCAATGGAGATTTAAAAAAAATGAAGGTATATAAGATTATTCGGAATTTTTTAAAAATCGGATGCTTACGACTCTCCTGCCTCGGCGCGTTCCTCGGCACGCTCAAGATCGGCCTCAACCATGGCCAATTTACGGGCAACCTGTGGTATATAAACGACACATAACACTTGTTTCTTCGACCTTAACTATATTATTCTCTCTCATCAGTTATTAGATATTTTTATTTATTTATTTATTTTCTTTCCGGTTCTTTTTCTTTTTTTTCGTTTCAAGATCAAATCGATTTCCATTCCTATATAATTTTTTCTTTTCTCTCTTTTCCGTTGAAAGAGTTCGTTTGTTGTTATGACTCCGCTTTTTTTTTTTCTTTTCTTTTTCTTTTTTTTTTCTTTGTTTCTTCAAACGCGATCGGAAGAAGAATAAACATCGTTCTTATTGAATAATGAGAATAAAATATGATATTTATTAATAAGTTTGTTATTAGAAAAATGCGTTTAGAAGATACAACAAATAAATTTGTTTGACTTATGTTTGAAAATCTTTTTTTTTTTTTTTTTTGCTTGCGATCAAACTGCGAAAATATTTTTGCTACGTGATATTGAATTGTTTCAAATAGATCAAATCTCTACGATAATAATAATAAAATAATAATGATGATGATAATAATAATAGTTATTATTATTATTATAATTATTTGTCCTTCTGTTATAATTTCTGATATCGATTTTCTTCCGATCACGTTTCTTTCTATTTTTTTTTTTTTTTTCTTTTTAATTATTTCAAGAAATCCAAAAAAGAAAAAAAAATTGGATACATTTTTTGATTCTTGTGGACCAGCAAAGGAGCGTGTATATACATATGTATATATATATATATACACATAATAATGTAATATTATTAAAAATTATGTTAACGAACTATAAAAAAATCTCGTTTTGCTAGTCCACGATAAATATTGTTTTTTATCATGCAACGAACTTCCAAGCAAGCATGACGACGCAACGCGCATTTAAATTATTCTCTCCTTGATAAGCATGGGTAACAATATTGTCTGTACTATTAATTAACTCGCTCTGAACGAAATAATTATTCCCATAATTAGATCCATCGTCTTATTATTATTATTATTACTATTATTATGAATATTATTATTTTTGTTTAACCATCATCGAACGAAGCGTAGTTTTTTTTTGTTTTCTAATGTATATGAATTTCTATCGATTTTTACGATTGGATATCTAATTATGTAATATACATTTTAATATATTACATATCATCTTATACGTCAAGATTATGTAATATATAAATAAATCAATCGTGCTTGTTTGGGTGTACGTGAAAGCGTTAAAAAATTATTATTTGTTCGAACGAACAATCAATCCAAAAGAAAAAGAAAAAGAAAAAAAAAAAAAAGAGAGAAAGAGAAAGAAAAGAAAAGAAAAGAAAGAAAAGATAAAAAAGAAATGATTATATATAAGTTAAAAAATGTAACTCTTTTCAAACTCTATATTACTATGTTAAAATTCGTATTTTCATTGTTAGAATGAACATCTGCAATAACAACGCACGTATACAAGCGTCGATGTTTATAAATAAATATAAAAAAAAAAAATATATATATATAAAACACAATGGTTAGATATAGTTAATTAGAAATAATTAATGGCAGGGCACGCATCGTATTCGAATCCCCGGTAGTCGAACATTTACTACCGGTGTTAACATTGGTTATTATCACCAATGATACTGCAAATCTATTGTTAAGAGCATCGACAAAAGGCATCGTTAGTTTTTCAATGTGCAAAAATCTTGATTAACAACAACGATGTGACGCTAGTAATCTCTTAATTGGAACTTAATTGGGGGGAAAGATTGATACGAGTTATGAATCAGTTGAAATTACAGAGAGATATAAAATTTTCATTGATCGACAATAAAGAGAGAGAGAGCTGCTCGATCTTGAATCATGTGAGAAAAAAAAAAACAAAAACAAAAACAAAAACTGAATTGGAAACAAAAAATCAGAGAGTTAACAAAAATGGCGATGCTACTCTATGTAAAAAAAGAAAAAAAAAAAAAAAATAAATAAATAAATAAATAAATAAATAAATAAATAAATAAAAGAAAACAATTTTCGATCTCATATTTTTTGTCTTTTTCAAATATTTATTTATTTCTTTTTATTTATTTATTTTTTCCGTAAATACATCGCGATTTTAAATCCGATCGTCTCTGTAATTTCGACTCTGCAATGATCGCTGGACACCTACCACAAGAAAAGAATTGGCAAATATTTCGTGTGTTTGCGTGCGGGAGGGGGGTGCCTGCCTCCCTCGTTATTTCTTTCTTTGTTTTTTTTTGTTGTCGTTTTTCTTGTTTTTGTGCTTTTTTCCCCTTCGCTTTTTCATCTCGTATACACGTCGAATAGAATACGTTCTATTTTCACGTCGAATTTCCGTCGATCAAAAGGAAAATTTATTTAACAACAAGTTGTTGTTTTATGTAACAACAAATGTGAGTGTGTGTCGTGTCGAGAATGTGTAGATATGTCTTTTCTTTTCTTTTTTTTTTTTTTTTTTTTTTTCTTTTCTTTTCTTTTCTTTGGACGAATGCAGCACCATGTGACAAATATCGGCTACGATTACCGCGATCAAACGCGGCGTCGTGTCTCGTCTTCTTCACGATATAACACAGAAGATTGCAGAAGGAGAAAAAAGAAGTAATACTTCATAAAAAAAAAAAAAAAAAAAAAAAAAAAAAAAAAAAAAAAAAAAAAAAAAAAAAAAAAAAAAAAAAAAACACTAACAGAATCGCGACAAATCTCGTTATGTTCCTGTTGTTTTTTTTTTCTTTTTTTGTTCACGTTGTTCAACCAATACGAAATATAGTTCGATGCGAAGCACGCGAACCGGACACTTTTTAATTTTATTTTTATTTTCTTTTTTTTTTTTTCTTTTTTTTTTTCTTTTTTTTTTTTTATTTCATATATAAAACACTTTTCACCCCTTATTTTTCGTTTGTTTGTTTGTAACAAAATCACAGACGCTTTTATCACTCATTCCAACGAAGCATCTTCGTTCCTCTTTAATCACAAAGAGGAAGAAGAAACATATTTCTTAATCACTGCACTTCTTCTTCTTCTTTTTTTTTTCTTTCTCTTTTCCTTTTTCCTTTTCTTTTTTTTTTTCTTTTTCGATTTTTCATAATTTCCTCGTTTCGTCGAGGACGATTATCATTTCGCGAAATCATTTTCACATAGAACGATAACAACATTTTATCAACAAGAACAACATCGTCGTCGTAGATTAACCAACGGCAACAACCAACAACAGTTCGACGAATATTTTTTTGTTTTTTTTCTTTTTTCTTTTTTTTTTTTTTTTTTTTTTTTTTCTTTTTAATTTGTTTTGTCTTGTTTCTTTCATTTTGGCATCACAGATCAAGTATCTATTATATCATCCTTAACTTGTCCCGCGCGTTTTTTTTCTTTTCACTCGAACCGAACGAAAGATCGCGAAAATTTGATATTCTTCAGAGTATATACGTTTTATCATATACATATATATATATATATATACATGTATATGTGTATACATATATATATATATATATATGCACATAGCGATTTCGCGACGAACACACATAGGAAGATAATGATTTCTTCGAGATAATGGGAGACTTGGTTTTAATCAGGGAAGGATCTTTTAAATTTGTTATCTATTTGAAAGATAAATAGATAAATAGATCGATCGATTATCGAAGACAGATAAATGGAGAAGATAAAGAGAAAGGAAAAAAAAAGAAGACGTAGACGAAGGAGAAGAAGAAGATGAAGAAGAAGAAGAAGAAGAAAAAAAAGAAGAAATAAAAGAAGAAAAAAAATTAGGAAGGATATTAGGCACTATAGTTTGGATTATCAACTAGGAACCATCATCGTCATCGTTAACGGCATCGTCATTATCGTGATTATTATCATTGTCACTGCAGCCAGCACGCACGACAGTCGTGGGCTCGCAAACCTCATCGTATTTCTTGTCGGCTTCTTCGGCTAGGAACCTCGCCTCCTTCAACTGATTCTCAAGGGCGTCCATGCGCTCTTCATCAGCCAAACTGCGGTTCTCGAGAATCTTGCGGGCGCTTTAATGTCGGGGAAACATGTCGGGACACACGACAATAAACGTACGATTAAAATTAATAAATATTAAACTATTTTATCGAATATATATATATATATATATATATATATATATATATTTAGCTAGAAAAAAAATTAAATAATTAATATTGCACATAGACACACAAGTATAAATAAATAAATATATATATATATATAAAAGAAATGATGAAATGAAGAAAAATATTGTATTAATTAAAATTTATAATAATAATTAATTAATTAATAAATTCGGTATTCTTCGTCGTGGATGACTTTCTGCTCTGCTACGTTACTGGTCCTATTCTGTAAAAAATATCGTGGAACGAGAGCCAAAACCAAAATGAAAATTTTTATCAATTTTATTTATCATATATATAATATAGTGATATATATATATATCACTATATATATATATCACTAAGCATATCGAAAATAAATCATTAAGGTATGATTGACATTCTATCGATGTTCTCTTTTTGATTCGACTCTCTTCGAGAAAGGAACAAAGGTCGCTGATGTATGTATATGTATATGTATATGTATATGTATATATATATATATATATATATAAATATGTATATATATATATATATATATTTCTTTTTTAAGTGTTCTTTGTTCTCTGGCGTACGTGACCCACCTCCTCGTATTTCTTATCCGCCTCCTCGGCGATCAATTTAGCCTGTGCTAGCTGCTGCTCCAACAAGGATACCCGGTCATCCTCCATGTTGGTTCGGTTTTCAAGTGCCTTGCGTATCCTAGCGATCGATTATTTTACGATTTTTTAGTGTCTTTTTTCTCGTCGTTGAAAGAAGGATCTCTCTTCGTTATACACTCACACACGCATATATATATATATATATGTATTTATATAGACTTTTTTTGTATATAATTAAAAAAAAAAAATAAAAAAAAGAAATTCCGCATTGAATTTCGAAATAATTGCGACAAATTTGACTTTGAAGTTCGGGCGATTGAAATAATTCGATGTAATTAATTACGATAATAATTACGATTTGTTAGAACGAATTTTATTATTATTTATCGTATCTTTTTTTTTTTTTTGTTTTTTTTTCTTTTCTAGGTATTTCGAATATTTTTTTTAGTTTTATGTATGACGTACAACATATTTGTTTCGCATTAAAAAAATATTTATTCCACGTTTATATCTACGATATTACAAATTTTTTCTTTTTTTTTCTTTTTTTTCTTTTTTTTTTTTTTTTTTTTTTTTGTATATAATGAATATTTATTTTATATAATGTATTTGATCTAATAATTTAATTAATATTTATATATATATAATATAATTAATATAATTAATATAATATAATTAATATATATATATTACAATATATATATATAATATAATATATATATATTATAATATAATAATTATATATATATATATATATATATAGATTTCTTATATTTGAAATATTTATATAATTTTGTATAAAATATAAAAATAATATATAATATATATTATTTTATTTATTATTATTATTATATATATATTTATAATATATATGAAATATATATAAATATAAATATTTCTTATATCGGCAATATTTGTATTTTACGTAAAAGAAAAAAAAAATTGAAAAAAAAAAGAAAAGAAAAAAGAAAGAAAAAAACAATTTAATTAATTATTAAATAAAATAAATATTATTGAAAAATCTTCAATATATAATTCAATATTAATCACAATCTATATAATTATTTCCAAGTAATATTATATAATCAACCGATGAATCAAGTTATAAGAAAAAAAACGATTTAATCCATATGAGTTAATCGTTTAATTTGAAAATGTCGGAGTCTATACACATATTTATAAGTACAACATATATACACTCACACATACATATCGTTCCGTTATCGGTGACGGCGATAAGTGGTAAGCAAGCATGATATTTAAAGAATGAGCTCATGTTTCCGATCATAAATGAACGGAGTACCAACGACGGACTATGACACGGTCGCGGAACTTCAAAGTCATTGTCGGGGATTTGTTGATAACCTCTCGAATCGCAAACTTTCTCATGGCGTTACAACTAACACGATATTAATTTTTGTCTAATAGAAAAAGAAATATAATTTGTCGTGTTAGAGGGGGTAAAAAAAAAAAAATAAATGAAATAAAGAAAGATAATAAACAGGACAAAAAAAAAATGAATTGAAGTATCTTATCCATAATTCTTTCAACGTCGAAACGTTAATTCATTGATGTGTGTTTGTTTAGAATATAGAAATTGTTTATTGGAAGAGCGAGCAACATTTATACATATATATATATTTATTTATTTATTTTATTAAATTAATATGATTTATTATATGTCCGTATAACATTTTTATTTATATATAATAAATAAATATATATATATATAAAATAATTATTAAACATTTTTTTGTTTAAATACAATTTCTCATGTAATGTAAATGATTATTTTTTTTTTTCTATTAATAATAATAAAATATCAGTACACTATTACTACTGTAATAAATATTTTCGTTTGTAGATCCTTTTGTTTTTTTTTCCCCTCACTAAATAAATGCACTGAGTAAATTTTTAATTCCGACGTTACTAAATGAGAAGAAGAAAAAAAAGAAAAAAGAAATCAAATAAACTAAGATAAATTAATTGAATATATCGGCCATGTCCGAGGGATATAATTTAATCGACAATGATTTTACACCCACACGTTTCAGACACGTTTACGTAACTAACAACATGCCTTTCAAGCATGTATATATATATATATAAGTGTATTCTTGTAAACGATCATGAAACAAAACTATTATAGTTCGTTGCGTTTAACGCTCGATTTATCATTTCACATAAACGAATCGATTGAACCATCGATCCGAAATAAACGAAGTGACATTATTCACAGTAAAAATATTAAAGACGTTCGTTCGTTATGCCAAAGTGTGAATTTATAAATAAATTATTAAAATTTTACAATTTCCTCGCTCTTCCATGTTAAATAAATCTCTTAATTTTATTTATTTGTTTATCTCCTTTTATAAACAAATATTCGTGGATCGTTGTTAAAACTTCGTTAAAATCAAACGTAAAAAGTTGACGTAAAATAGTCTTCAATAAAATTTTCGAAGATAGAAAACGAAATAATTCCCTTTTTTTTCCACAATTTTTTTCCTTTTCTTTTTTTTTTTTTCTCCCATATACATAAATAAAAATAATTTTTTGAGCGTAATGATCTTGCAATAAAATTACAAAGGTCGTGATGTATATTTTCGTTTCTCGTTCGTTTTTTATCTTCATTATCGTTACACTATTTATTTAACTATAAATCTGTATTGTAGAAATGCTATTTATTCAATTTTTATATCTAAGAAAAATTAAATCTTAATCTTAATGTATAGTCAATAATTAATTACTGAATACTTAAAATAATTCCGATGATTGATGAAGGTCATCCATTTGACTCATATATATCTTTCATTTTCGAAATATTTTGACATTTTGAATTTGAATTTATTTCAAATTAATTTTTTCGTAGACAAACGAAAAGAATATAATTAAAAAATCTACATTTTATGTTGAATAATAATTCTTTTGTGTAATTTAAAAAAATTCTTTAAACAATAGTAAAATTCGTTTAAAACACACGTTTTGTGATATGCGCCAAATGATTTAGATCATTTTCACAATCGTCGGTTCAAATATTTTCACAATAAAACATTCAAGTTCTAATATCAGAAGAAGAAAAAAAAACAAAAGGAAAAAGAGAGAAGAAAATAAAAATATTTCAAACTTATATCAAACATTATTCATTGATCATCATTTAAAAAAATTTACTTCAATTGAAATAACAATACGAAGAAATAGCATCTCTATGAACAAATTAAAAATATTCCAATGGATCAATAGTTATTAAATTAATCGATTAAATCAAATGATGTTAATGAAAAAAATCTCAATTTATATATTTAATAAAATATTCGTTTTGTATTTTTTTTTTTTTTTTTTGTATTTTTTTGTATTTTTTATTACTTCTCCTTATTTTCGATAATAATATTTTGGTAATGGGCGGAGGGGGAAAAAAAAGGAGGAAAAAAAAATAAACTATCGATACATTGGAACAAAAACGGATGAGATAATAAATCTCATTCGTTTTTTCTTCTTTTTTTTTTTTTTTTTTTTTTTTGGTACTTTTAAAAATTACGTATCAAAAGATATTTAAAATGTTACTCGCTTACCGTTCGCTCTCATCTGCCGCTTGAGATGCCTCTGCCAATTTGGCAGTGGCAGTAGCAAGACGTTCCTCGGATCTTTCGAGGTCCTCCTCCAATAATTGGATACGACGATTGAGGGCAGCGACTTCGGATTCGGCCTGAAGAAGAAGAAAAAAAAAAGAAACAAAAAAAATTAATCACGAGATCGAAAAAACAATAATTTTTTTTTTTTTTTTTTTTTAATAATACCGATTATATCGATATCAGGCAAAAAAAAAAGAAAATAAATATATATATATACATATTTTTTTTTTAAACAATTTATAAATAATTTATCAAAAATTTATAAATGATTTCGATATTGTAATCGATATAATATTATATATCTAATATAATAATTAAAATTTCAACTTTATATTAATAAACCTTAAAGACCCAAATTTCGATTTCTCGGTCGGTAAACTAGAATTGATCTATGAATAATTTTATTTGAATAAAAAAGAAAAAAAAAAAAAAAAAAAAGAAGAAAATAATTAATCAAAAGATCGAAATAACAATAATTTCTAAATAAATCCATTTTTATCACACATTTAATATTATATTATATAATTATTTGAATTTATAAATATTTGACGGAATATAATTTCTTTTTTAATCAAATTTTTATAATTATTCATTTTTAATAATTATATAATTAAACTTAATAAATCAGAAACGAATATAACCTTTGAAATAGTTTATAAATAAAATTTTTACTATATCTACATATATAAATAATTTAAATCTCTGATAATAACAATAACAGTAACAGTAACAATAATAATAAGTCCCAAAATTGGTTTTCTCGGTCGGTAAAATCAAATAAATCTATTAATATGTTACATTAAATGAAAGGAAAAAACAAAAGAGGAAAAAAAAAAAGAAAGAAAAAAGATGGTAGAACGGATTAAAAAAAAAAAAAAAACCACAGATTTTATTTCATTTCGTTGACCGACTTAACGATCACGAATTTCTCTTTTAATTCTTAACGCCTCGCGGCACGTGATTAAAGACCATTCCTAACGGACAATATACACGGCACGAGAGAGATCGTCAAGGTCTTTGAGCGCATATCAATGACCTAAGCTGCTTCCTTCGGCCGGCACGTTACATCAACGAGTTTAATAGCACGGCCAGCACATTAACTAGTTTCAACATTTACGAGTATAAAATAGACGTATAAAATATATATATTTAAATATTCGTATATAAATATTTATATGCGTATATTTTAATAATAAAACAAGAATTTCAATTGACTCAATCAAAATTCATTTCTCCAATTAATTTTATGCATAAAATTAGATAAAATATATTAACAATTATTAATGATAATAAGAAGAAGAGGAAATAGAAATAATAATAATAATCATAATAATAATAATAGTCGTAATAATATTACAGGATAGGTCAAAATTTATTAAACAGGTCAAATATTTCTAAATGATATTTAATATCGATCACTCTTTTTTATTTTTAATCACATTTTAGGCTTGCGTTTCTACGACACAATAGATTTGTGATTTTGCTATTCGAAAAAAAAAAAAAAAAAAAAAAAAAAAAAAGAAAAATCAAATAAGGTAAATAATTTCAAAAAAGTTGTTTTCTTTTCTTTCTTTCTTTCTTCCTTCCTTTTTTTTTTTATAATCTAAAAACTTTTGGTCCTTTCTTTAGTAATTTAGTACAGTAGTAATAATAGTAGTAACAATAATACATAATAATAATAAAATAATTAACACGATAAATATAAAGAAAAAAATAATAAAAATGACGTCATTATCAAAGATCTATAGAAAATGAGTCAATGAGTACTATATAAACTCTTTCTCTCTTTCACTATCTTCTTTATTTTACTTTATTCTTTAATCTAGAAAATTCATCTGCGCGAAATACGTGACCCAATTTTTTTCTCTCTTTCTTAATTTTTTTTTTCTTTTCTTCTCTTTTTTTTTTTTTTTTTTTTTTTTTTTAATGACTGCACCTGCAATGGTTACGCATTGTACTTTGCGATTAAATGGCCTGTCCTAGGACGAGGATAGTCTGGCCTTTGTCTTCGATCGTTTTACCTTTGCCATGTGAATATGCTTATGTATATATGTATATACATATATATATATATATATTATATAGAGGTATATATACGTGTCCCTATATCGTGCCTATATAAAGGTTACATGTAGATTCAGAGGAAATTGACACGCCCACCCAAGCGAACTCACAATCCGCGTTAATGGCCCTCATGTTTTAACTTTGCTAAAAGGATGTCGAATTTCCGTTCTGAATATGACACCTCGAAAAAGAAAAAGAAAAAGAAAAAGAAAAACAAGCAAAGAAAAGTGAAAAAAATAATAAATAAATAATAATTTCGTGAAATAGTTACGAAAGAAAAATATCTAAGCTATTAAATGAAATTTTTATACGTCAGTGGATTTATATTTTTAATTGATGAATATAAATCTTTTTGTTCTTTTTTAACTAAAAAAAAAAAAAAAAAAAAAAAAAAAAATTGTATCTATATGCACGACTAAGGAGAGGCACAATGATTGTTAGATAAATTATTATTTTTTTTTTTTTTTTTTTTTTTTTATTAATCACTCCTTTTCATAATTTATTAGACTCTAGGTAATTATCTTATTAGGTCAGATTTATGATTTCACAATATGAAATGAAAAATTCATTTAAAATGTCTCGAGACAGAATTATTGATTCTTTTAATATCACCTAGAAACTTTCGGTACGTGCCCAATAATAATTTAACGATCCTAATAAATGTACCTATAAAAGAACGATTATGATCAAAAGTTCCTAGATAATTTTAAAAATTAATTACTCTCTTTTATGTATCATTAGATTTATAATCAGGCCTTTTCTTTTATTTATTAACGCTTACTGTTTTACAATTTGAAAAGAATAATTCATTTTAAAAAGAATTATTGATTCTTTTAATATCACCTAGAAACTTTTGAACCGTATCCAATAATAATTTGACGATCCTGATAAATGTTCCCTATAAACGACGACTGTGATCAAAAGTTCCTAGGTAATTTAAAAAATTAATTACTCCGTTTTTATGAATCTTTAAACTCGCTTAATTATGCTTTTTAATTTTATCTAGCATGCTTGCAGTTTTACAATTTGAAAAGAAAAATTCATTTAAAAAGTATTATTGATTTGTAATATCATCTAGAAACTTTTGGTCCGTATCCAATAATATTTTAACGACTCTTTTAAAAGTTTCATCTAACACAATGAGAATATTTCTTTTATTTTCTGGAATGGTGAAAGATTTTTTATTATTATTATTATTATTATTATTATTATTATTATTATTATTTTTCTTTTTTTTCCAGATAGATTTGAAACGGATGTCGTCACCATGGACGATCGAGCACCTTCCGGAGGAGCGATGACATCCGCCGCTTTTAGAACACGCGCGTTCTCCGTTATGTAAACCACTCGATGTTCTCTCTCGATGCGTTCTACTCAATCAAAGTTCCCGCCTAATTCAATATTCTCATCGATCGATTCACGTTTCAATGCTTGTCCTATCCACGTATATCGGGAGTGGTTCGAAAATTTCTTCCCCCTTTTTTTTTTTCTCCCACCATAGGTACATACTTTTAATTTTTTTTTTTTCAAACAAACAGAATAAAGAGATCTCATTTGCGAGCCAAACGAGAGAAATAAATTATATTGGGATAAAAGTAAATAAATGAAGATGAAGACGGAGAGGATCGATCATTCTATTATTATTATTATTATTACTTATTAATTAATAATAATTAAGAATAATAATAATAAGATTATACAAGAACATACGATCGTACATTGTTAATATTTTCAAATGTCAAATATACTTAACGATTTTATTATTTTTGAGATATCAGAGAAAATGAGTTACATAAAAAAATAAAAAAGTAAATAAATAAATAGACGAGGATTATTTGATTGATAAGAGAATTAAAAAGAGAGAGAAGAGGGGGGGAGAAAAAATATTTAAGAATACAGGACAATGCAATTTTGTATTTTTTCATTTTCAAATGAACGAAATCGCGATTTTATCATTCTTGTGGAAAAAAAAAAAAGAAAAAAAAGAGAGAGAAAAATTACATAGAAAGAAAATAGAAATAATTAAAAATTAATATCGGAAAACCCTTTTGATTATTAAGAAGAAAAAAATAAAAAAGACGTATATATTTTCATATCTTCATTTTTCGAATGGACTTAATTAGGATTTTGTCATATCGGAGCAAACAACGATAAATTACATTTACCTGAAAAAAGATCTATACAAGAAAAAAAAAAATTTTAAGAAAAAAATAATAAAATAAAATAAAATAAAAAAAATAAAAAAAAAAAGTAATACGAGAAGATGCGGCAGTGCAGTTGGTTGATCAACGACTAAAGCCATTTAGTGAAGCCTGAACGGATCTCGAGCACGTACCCGTTGGCCTTTAAAATCTTATAATCTACTACGAAGTATAATACTTATTTCGTTCTATCTTCTGTAAATGGTATTACATACATTCGTGAATAATACCAACGGGGATTTTATCTTACGATTGTTCATCGCGTCTCTCTCTCTCTCTCTCTCGAAAAAGAAAAAAAGGAAAAAAAAAAAAAAAGAAAAATGAAAAAAAAAAGAAAGAAGGAAAAAAATTCAGTCTTATCTTATCTTTCGTTCACAAGGAGTTACGTTATTCACATGAAGATAATAAACGGATGAAACGAATCAATACTCGTAGAGAGAATGATCAAGTCTCTGTAAATAATTCTTTTTTTTTTCTTTTAACCGTACAAAAATATAATTTAAATACATATTCAATTGGACTTCAAACAAATTATAACAATTTATATTATTTGTAAATAATATCAATATCGTTGATGAGAAATATTTTGCGATTTAAAGAGAAGTAGATGATATTTATTAATCGTCTTTTTTTTTTCTTTTCTTTTCTTTTCTTTTATTATTGAATTTTTAAACAATGAAACGTTTGTTCGATTATTGATTTATAGATCGTGATGTATTAAAGTCCATGATACGTTGATACGTCATAACGTGACATACATCCTTTTTATATTCGCTCGAACTAAAGGAAGAAGACGATAAAAAAGAAGC